GTTTCAGATCTGCCACCCGTACTGCTGCTGAAACTGCAGGCAGACACAATGTCCACATCAGTGACAGGACAGTGAGGGTCCACCCTGCTGGCCTTAGAGCAAGGCGACTTGTCAGAGGCCCTCTGCTCACACCTCCTGGACGTCACACCCGACTGGCTTGGGCCAGAGGCTGCGATGGTCGGCAGTGGCATCAGGTCCTCTTCATGGATGAGTTACTCTTCAGCCTGTCCCACGCAGACGGGAGGGCCAGAGTGTGGAGGAGGAGGTGTTGCGTTTGTTTTTTCCATCAGTATACAGTATATTGTGATGCACATGTCCTTTTTGGGCGCATTGTGTATATGGTAGTGCATGCAGGCAGCTGTAGGCTGGATACTGCCTGTGTTCTCTCCCCTCTTCTGATCAGAGCCTTGTTAGGGATGAGGTAATGAACTTCCCTTCGGAGTAGACTGGGATGGGATTTGGAAAAGCATTACAACATGCTTTTCACTGCTATTTTTCAAATCTGCTTAGTCTTAGTGGCTAGATATAGAACTTTGAAACTTTATCGTTATTAACTTAAAATATGATGCAGATTTTAGGACTCATAGCTTTTATCCTGTCCTGGTGGTGTAAGAACCTTTTTCATGATCAGAGCACTCATACAGTATTCCTTATTTTAACCCTTCTTTTGGAAATAAAACTGCCTCTAGGAAAATCAGCAGTTACCATGCCAACCATTCAAATATGAGCTTCCTCAAGGAAATAGTGAACATTATACCACTAGTAATTTTATTTGGAAATGTACCTCTGCTTTAATTTTTTTTCTTCATGTATTTAGTACTTCAGTGCCCAAATTGCACTGGGCACAGAATTCTCTAGAAACTTTCTTCAGATTTGCAAGGAAATAAAAATGAACCTCCGCCTTTGTAAAATATATTTGCTTGTATACGTTCGCCACAGGCCTTCCTTTCTGAAGAGGGAATATGGAAAATATGTGTGTAGCTATGGTATGTTAATTGGAGATGGTGAATAGGGTTTGTTTCCATTTGATGTTCCAGTGTGGTTGCATGTTATACAAAAGCTCCTTACCGAGGTCTTGATCATTTTCATTTGTCTCCTATCCAACACTGACAGCAGGGACCGGAGCTCAGTGATATTATCGGAGGTCCAGTTTGAGGCGTCTCTGCCATGGGGTGAGGGGGGGGGAGAAATTTATTTCAAATGAGGCTGATGTCCAAGTTCCGCTGAGAACGATTAACATTGAATCCTCATGAAACAGAGTTAAATCTACCAACCATCATCTCTGTGCTAAAGGCACTCCAAATCTTCAGATTTGACAGGATATCTTTGAATGAATAATGAATTAAGGACTCAGTCTGATCTAGGGCAAGCTGTTATTGGGGCCAATTAATCCATTGGTCAGATCAATGAATTTAAATTTGTTTCAGGCTGATGCCTGGAGTTGCATTTGTTCCCACAGGGCTGGGCGAATCACCCTGGGAATGGTGAAGGTTGGTGCTGGTAATAACTAATATTTTACCTTTATATGCGGCAACTATCTGCTCTCTACTAATCCGTTTTTGTAGATCACAACTACTGAGTGAAAAGAGATGCTTGCAGACTTCATCAGCGAAACGAATGAATGCAGTTACTCTGACTCCTATAGTGTTTGGCCTAACCTGTGTAAATCATTTATAACAAGCAGGATTCTTGTCTCCATGCTTCGCTGAGATATCAGTGTGGACACAATGCACGGAGATACCCGTTCACAAACAAACGGTTTCACATGGCAGTGCATGTTCTGCAGGTTCCTACCCATAGACAGTCGTTATCTTTGCCGCCAGGCTGTCCTTGACCTCTCGCTTGAATTTGCCACACTTCTCCAGTGCTTTTACAGCCATCACAAAGACTGTGTCGTTGAGGTTTTGGATGTCCTCAGCGTTGAAGAAACAAACGGCAAGACCCAGGTTTGCCACTTGGTCAGATGTAAGAGTTCTGGTATCAGATATACCCTGGAAATGTGCAAAGAAAGTTAACAGCTTGCCCCAGTTCTTCAACACAATCCATTGATCAGCATTGATAAAACAATAAAGGGTGGTGAAGTGAGGCATGTATGTATCTCACTTATCCAGCTTCAAAGTACCACCACTTAAGCACATTGTGAGAGGTGTTGATGGGGTCTGTTAATTTAGCCTCAAACAAAAGTTACACTAAGGTGCCATAAAGCTGACTTGCTCTGGCAGCACCAGTGGCTTAACGCTACATAGTAAAAGACAGGAACAACACCCACAAACAGGACAAAACGGGACAATGTCTGCTGCCTATCAAAGGACAGAACCGAGAGCAAGACAGAGCAGGACAAGAAGTAATTACGTATCAAAGAACAGGACAAGCACTCAGATTGTGGAACAAACTTTCTCCTGACTGTATATGAGAGCTGGGAATCCCTTGCAGTTTGTCGGTTCTGTGGGGCAGACCCGGCGCGCGTTGTCGGACTTATTGAGCTCAATAAAACTGACTCTGCACAAGACTGTGTCCCGCTCCTCTGATGAAGAATTCCCACAACAGTGGCGTCATAAACTAAACTTGGACTTAATGCATCTGCAAAGAGTGCTTTTACTATGAAGCACCGAGAATGATTTGCAAGCCAAATGCTGGCCGTGTTCATGCACCTCATCAGAAACACAAGGTGACCCAAAGCGTGAGGACTAACTCACCCAGCAGGTCTTGATGTATTTCAGGGCTTCACTTCTCCTCCCCGAGCTCATGGGGAGAAGCTGGGGATTGGCCTTGACTAGCACGGCCACCACAGAGGAGCAGCTGAAAGAGCCGTTCCACTTCATCAGGTCTGTGAAGTTCCTGCGACATCAGATCCGAGGGTCAGGGGAGAGAAAACAGTTGGGCAAATAAATCCTTGTCGTCTGCATGGCTTGTCAAAAGCATACAAGCTCCGTTTGCTAATAAAATTCCCTTGCAGGAATACAGGCTGTACATCTTGGAGGATTCCTGAGTGCTCTACACTCTGGAGGAGACGCAGCCCTCACTCGAGTTTCACCTCACTGCCTTTTGCTTTGTAAGATCCGTTTCTCTGAACTGTCTGTGAGACGAATCAGTTGCATTTTTCCAAATTCTTCAGAACTCTGCTTTGGTGCAGGGACAAATGCATTTGTGCACTGCTCTCTGTATGCATGCAAGAAGCTGGACCCAGTCCGAAGTCTACCAGAAATGTATTATTGCGACACATGAAGAAGCAGGGCTTTTGCTGTGAGTTCATGAATCTGTTAAATGGCCTTCACTTACATACAAAGAGGAAGGGCCTAGGTATCAGCTCTACTGGGACATTGTATTCCACTAGGAACTGGACAGCAAGGTCACTTACGGAGAGTAGAGTAGAAAGCTGGGAGGTATCTGGCTGATGTCAGTGTTATTTAAAGTGGAAAAGTTCTGGGCCTTCATCAGGGTTTGGAAATAGACTTTGCTTCCGCAGTTAACCTGCAGAGGTGAGAGCAGCATCACTGAGTTAGCGATGCACGATCGGGACATTTTATTCAGTACAAACGGTTTCGGTCCATGCTGGAACCACAGTGGCCTGTCGGTCATCCTGGTTTCTGTGGTGTTTGAGGAACAGAGCATGTGACCCCTCTTCCTGGATGGGACACCAGTCCATTACTCGAATGACCCCCCCCCCAAAAAAAAACTGCCGGCACACTCATAGAGCTGGGAGGACTGGAGCAGCTTGGGTAGAGAATCGCTCTCAGGTTACAACACTAATGTCTGCAGCAGGGACTTGAACCTACAACCTGGCAGTTGGCTTAGCCACTGTGCTGCACCATCCTCTTTTAGTCAATAGCTGATTCCTCAATAGCTTCTATCCACAAGCAGTGCGATTGGCGAACACATTTGGCCATGCCCCTCGGACCACACCAATACCATCTACCTCATTATGATTTCTTATTTATTCATTGCACATCTCCAGTCACTGTTTACACATCTGCTTTTTTTACATTCAAACTGTTTACTTCGTTTACTTTTACATTGTCTACTGTTCGTTTGTATTTTGTCTTGATGCACTGTCTGCACTTTGTGCTTTCGCACTTGTTTTAACAATCGAGAGACTTTCTGTAAGTAAGTCAGTACCAGTACATGTACCGCTTACATGTGGCAATAAAGTTCGAGTTCAAGTTCAATCAATATCCAATATCCTAAAATCGCATGCTCGCGTCTCGGCGCTGTGTGTACCTGGTCGCGGGTGAGGTTCTCGTTCCCAGCGAGGGTCCGGAGGCTGTCCAGGGACATGTTGCGGATGTCGCCGCAGGTTAAGCCAGTCACAGCAGTGGTCAGCATGCTGCAGGGCGAGAGCAGAAACACAGCAACAGGAGCTGTGACGTCAAGTCCTCAATCACGCTCTGGTCACAGCTGCGAAGAGGCAGCTGAACAAAATGGCAAGGAGGCATCAAAACCGACCCCCTGCTCACCTGAGGTCCTCCTTGTTCTTCAGGCTCTTTATAATCTTCTTGATGATGACTAAGGCCTGAAATGCGAAGGGAACAGTCAACAGGCTGCAGTGAGAAGGAAGCCCTTTCTGGAGACCTTGTTCAAGAAGTCACTAGCGTGGGTTTGGACTGGCAGTAACAGGAACCCTTTCTGTAAGCCCTCATCTGTATGAAATGTACTGTAATGCAGCAGAATGAATGACCTATGATATTTAATGTGAAATGCGAGTTGACTCTTTGTTTCTGTGGCAAGTATTTCTCTTCCTATGTCCTGCGTTGATGCTATTTTTCCAATTGATGGCCTCCTCACTAGAGTTTAAAAACTCTTTTGCAAACAAAAGGAGACAGAAAGGGCAGAGAATGCAGGTTAACAACACAGAATACAATATTATAGTATCACATTTCATTCAAAAATCAAAAGGTCCCAGTGACCTGCTTTATTTATTGCCTGGGCTATACTGAAAAAAAAAACAAGGTTCTTTTTTATTCCAATTAAATTCCTTCTCGTGCTTGCTGCCCTCATTAACCGATGAAGGCTTATTGTTTAGCAGGGACCCTGGGTAAGAAATGTTTATCAACAGGTACTGCAACAGAACTGCAGGGGTCAAGTGTTGTACTTTAGGTCTCATCGCAAGCGGTCTATTAACAAACTGTCTATTAACTGTCTATTAACAATCTATTAACATGTTATAAACTACTTAAACAATTATTATGTAAGACAACACGTTTCAGGCGGTCGCCAGGTTTGGGGATTTGCAACTAACATCCGATTCATCTACACCAGAGATTGAAGTCATTCTGCTCACACTGTGTGTTTAACACATGACTTTTCACTCCGAAAAAACCCCAAAAACCGAAAAAACGGAATTTTTTTCAGTGGAGTTAACCTTTACTTGTTCCTGTGCTTACAATCCCCCACCTGATGCATTGCCGGGTCCTCTTACCTGGCCTTTATTCCAAGGCAGAGACTTATTGAGGAAGTCAAGTGACAGGCTAGTGTCTGATGCGTTCTTCAGGGTGGTGGCTGAGATTGCAGACAGCAGGCCAGGGGGGATGTTTTTCAGAACCTCGCTGATAAGCTTCTCCTTCAGCACCTGGGGACAAAAAAGAGATGTTTTTCGGGGGCGAAGGATCTCTGGCTCTGTGCTTGGAAGTCAGACTCACAGTCGGCTGCGGAAACCAGCTAGAAAAGACTCTTAGCTGACCAAGATGTTTGCTGATTTCCAGCTGCTAAAAAGAACAGTTTGAAAGATTTTGACCCGTAGAATTTTGCCAATTTTGTTGCCTATGCAGGAGGTATGGTAACAAAACCACCAGTGTGGCTTCTTTCAAGAAATGACTGGAGCTTTGAAATAAGTAACTACATATGACCAAACTGGCTTGAAGGGTCAATCTGATGTTCTCATGTTCAAGAAATGGGCTGTGACAAGTGTGACATTAATTATTTTTTTATCTAAACATTTAATATTACCCTGCTTGCTGGGTCTATAACACTATCCCAGTAAAACAATACTCGGTCTAGCTGGATAACATACGACATACAGTAGATACTCTGGGATTGCTTAAAAGGCAGTTAAAAATTAAAAATCATTGAATCACCTGACACTCTACCAACATGGGTGACACTAGCATGAATAGGTTTGTCTGGTTTGCAGTACCTCTTGTATAATCGCTTTCTTCTGGACTGGCTTCATGGCGTTGGTGGAGTCAGAGACCTCCATGGATTTGTTGAAGGCCTCCAGGAGGTCCTTGCCGTTCATCTTCTTTATGGTTGTGGTTTTGAGAGCACTGGCCAAATACCCCAGATCTGTCAGATTGCTGCCAGTTACCTGTAAGCCACAGATAGATTTGATATTCATTGTTTCAATGCAAACTGCTGCATTTTCCACATATAATCACCAGAGATGTCAAGACAATATTTTACATTTAAATAATTATTCCTTGCATTTATATAGCACTTTCCATTCCAAAGGATCTCAAAGTGCTCTACATATGGGAGTGGAATTACTTTAGACCAGAAGGAAGAGCGGCACCTATTGGTCCACCAACACCACATAAGTAGCAACCTGGTTTTCCTTAGAAGTCTCCTATCCCAGTTTTGACCAGGACCAGCTTTCTGGGATCTGATCAGATCAGGCAGCGAGGTTGTGTCAGTTGTGTGCATCCTTTAAAAATCTTTGCTTATTGTTTAGGAAGCAAAAATGTCAAAATGATCCATCTGCATTCTTGCATTAGTAATCTAGGGCTCTCATCAGAAAACGCATTTTTATCCTAGTTTGCATGGATTCGGTTTTCCACATTCAAAATGTCTTTTTCAGAATGCGTGCCGTGATTTCGAAACTGTGTGCGTTCTCTGTGTTCACCTCTCCGAGTTTATCCAGTATGGCGTTCTTCTGGGAGCTGGACCAGTCCTTGATGTCCCTGAGCACGGACAGAGACTCCTTCACCTTCTCCTTGGACATCATCCCCAGCTGGCTCACACCCAGACCGGCGGCCGCAGGTCCCAGCTTCTTCAGGTCATCCGCTGAGATGTTCTTGGCATCCACTGACTTCAGAAGTTTCTGGTAGACCTGGAAGGAACAGGAGTGTTAATACCTGATTCACCCTGTTTAGAACAGGTTGACAGGAAAGCAAGAGCAAGAGAAAATATAGCTCTTTACCAGAAAACTTCAATTTCACACTAGCTAAGAAGATTTTAATGCTGGTTTACTCGACACCAGAAAGAAGTAGCCAGGCACGGTGCCACTGACAAGCACCCTCTGCCTTTGTCTCACATGTGACTCACAAGACTGCCATATTTAATTTTTACTGGTGACGCAGGAGGACATTGGAATATAGTGGTGATGAAGGACACATGTGGCACAAGGCAAAGCAAGTTTAATTTGAGAGGACAGAGAATGGCTTGCACTGCTTTTTTATCTCAAGGGACATAAAACATGGGTCACTGCAATTAAAAGTGTTCAGCTCAGCAGCAGCAGGTTTCAATTACTCTGGAAAGTAAACCTTTGGTGATGTTAGCTCGTGGTGCCAAACATACTAAAACTGTTCCATGAAGATGCAGAATCCCTTTGAGTTTTGGAGAAGAAGAAGAGGGTGTCACGTTCGTAAACCCTTCCTCTTAAGGACGCTCCAGCCCTTCCTTGTTTTTTACTCATCTCCCGCACCTGCTCCCTGTTCCAGCCCCCTTTTCAGTCCACCTTAAAAGCCGGGCGCTCACTCCATTCCGGGCTCTGCTCTGGTTCCTGTACCAGGTGAGTCTGGGACCTGGAAGCGCCTGGTCCCATCAAGTTTTTAGTTCCTGTTCCTGTGCCGGTCCCGACCCGGTTCCTGTTTTTAATCCCGCTTGTCTTGGATGGACCACCCGGCTTTGGACTTTTGCCTCGTCT